TCTGCGCCGTGCGGCTGCCCCTGTGCCCGGCACGTTCATGGACCCTGAGCTCTGCGTGCACGAAGCCCTGCCCAGGGCGCTGGTGGGGAACGGGCGGTTTGGTGACACGGGGTGAGGTGGGAGATGTCGCCCCTGTGTGATGCTCGTGGCACGGGGGCAGGCAGGTCGCAGCTGGGGGGTACATGCTGTGAGAGGTTCCTCTGCGCTGCACCCCATGGGTGCCAAAATACCTGGGCTCTGCCCGTTTGCTTGGTCTGAGCCGTGCCCTGCCCGCTCGTAGGAGTTGTACGCGGTGCTGCCATTGGGACCACACTGTGCCCCCCCACCCGTGCCGGGCCGTGCGCTGCGTGGTGCTGTGTCTGTGCAGCGCGTGGCAGCACGCCAGCTCTGATTCAGTGCGGAGATGCCATTGGCTTCACATCAGCGCCGGAGATCTGGGACAGTGCTGGAAGAGGTTCAGTGATGCATCTATCCTGGAAGCCCGGGCAGCCTGTGTGGCCGTGGGAGTCTGTCCCAGTAGCCTGCAGGGCCACCAACGGGGGCTATTCATGCTCTGTTTATTGCTCTGAGTGCTGTCAGGGCGGGGGACATCCCCCACCTGGCCCCAGAACAGCCGATTCCCTCCCCCAGAAGCTCAGAGGTTTGTCCCTGTGAGAGGCAGATCAGCCCCCGGTGCTTGGGCAGACACGGGAGAGCCCCAGCCCCTGCACATAACTGAGAAGGGAGGGGGACACAAGGACCCCCTGTCAAGGACCCATCTCCAATCCCAGGTCCATCCTCCAAACCTCCTGACAGCCCCCAGGCTGATGGGGCCAGCTGGGAAAGGGGACAGAGCACATGAGTCCCCGTCCCTTCGCGTGGGGGACAGTGAATTCCCCAGGGACTGGTGCCAGGAGCCCTGGTCCGTGGTCACAGTCACGTCCCTGCAGAGGTCCAGTCCCCTGCCTGGAGCACGCTGAGGGTGAAGGAGCCCTGGGCCCGCTGCTCAGCCCAGCAGCGAGGGCTCATTTGTCACCTTCGTCTCCTCTGTTAACGACTCAGATGCCCCCCAGCAGAGAGGCACAGGTGACAACCAGCGTCCCTCTGTCCCGAGACCTGCCCTCCCTCTGCACCCTGGGCACAAAGATCGGGGTGGGAGCAGAAGGCGATGCCTTGGCTCCAGTGCAGGCAAGCTTTTTAATCCTTAATACTGGAAGCTCTGGGGAGAGCTGAGTGTCAAAAATGCACGCAGTGCATCTCCTCAAGTGATGGAGGCCTGGGGTAAAAGCTCTGGCTCTTAGGGATCCCCTGATAAGCATTTGGGACTGAGGGCCACCAGTGGATGGGGATGACCCATCAACCAGTGCCACAGACAGCCTGGGGACACCCATCCCGGCTGCCGGTTGTCGGCGTGACCGGGGGCTGGCCATCCCCCCCAGGAGCTGAGCACGGGCGGGTGCTGATGGATACTGGAGGCCATGTCCTCCAGCCACTCGAATGGGGAGGGTGTCCTCCTCCACGAGCCGAGGCAGAGGGAGGTTTGGGGCTGGCTGCCGCCGTCTCCAGTGGGCTGGGGACTGTTTTAAAAGGCCCCTTTCCAGGGCTGGGCGGCTGCAGCCAGCTGGGAGGAGGCTGCAGCTCCCCGCTGCAGCGAGGGCTTTGCCAGGTTTGCCTGGGGGCCCGGGGTGGGATCTGGGAGGTTGCGGGTGGCCAGTCCCCAAATGCCTTTGCAAAGAGGTTTTGGTGGGTGTCCCCATGCCGTGTGGCACAGGCTGTCAGGCAAGGTGCCCTGCTGCTGCGGCACGGGGAGAGGTGACCCCGCGTCAGATGGGGAGCGTGGGGCTGTGCTGCCGGGAGCAGCCTGGAGGGTCAGGACGGCTGGGGCAGAGGCAGAGCAGGCAGAGGAGGCTGGGGGCAGATGGGACCAAATGGTGACCCCAAGGGTGGCAGGCGATGGCAGAGCTGAACTGGAGGAGCCCCAGCTGATGAAGCAGGGGTTGGAGGTTAGGGCAGAGCGTCCTTGGTGGGCTGTGATCCAGGGGAGTGGGGCAGGAGGGACCCTTGATTATCAAGGAAAAACCTGGGAAGAGATTTTTGCATCCCCCAGTGTCCAAGGCGGGTGACAAAGGCAGTGTCCCCTGCAGTGGCACAGACAGGAAACCTTCCCAGCCTACAGAGTCGAGGTGGGGCTCCTCTAGCTCCAAAGCATACCAAGGAGCAGCTCCAGGGCAGCGAGAGGACAAACCCACTCTCTGGAGTCCTGGGAAACTCCAGCGGGGCTGAGTCTGCCCTGCCCAGCTGGGGAGCAAGCTGAGCCTGCACGCCCTCGCTACACCCGCCTGCCGCAGCCCCGACGCTCCTGCCGCCAGCGTCCCCATAAAGCTGGTCACCTCCACCCCCAGTCGCCCCAGCTCAGCTGGATGGGATTGCAAGGGAGGTAGATGGGATGTGGCATCTCAGGAGCTTGTTGGAAACCAACTTCTGCTGCCACAGCCCTGCCTGCGGGTACAACTCCACCACCAGGGTCATTTCTCCAGGCATTGGCCAACAGGTCTGTCCTGCCTTCCTGGGTCTCTGGGCTGGGGAGCAGAGCAAGGACTCTGGAGCGTGGTGTCTCCATCCCCCTGGAGCCCATTGCCCTACCATGCCACTGCCCCACAGCTCCCCATCCAGGAGGAGAGGTGACCTCCCACCCCCACGTGCTGGGGGGTGACAGCACCGTGCCTTGCTGCCCACCAGGCTGGGACCAACCTCTGGGCATGGTTCCAGTGGTGTCCCAGCAGCTTTTCCAGCCTCCGCATGCTGCTGGTGGCTCGTCCCGGGGCACACAGACCTGGCACCCCACTGGCCGTGGGGACACGTCCATACCAGCCCCACTGATTTAAACCTGGGACCTGGTGGTTGTGATCCCTGAGCTCAGAGACTTTGAGCTGGTGCCTGCGGTGGAAACAGCCCAAAGCGCTGGTGGGAGCCAAACCCAGGCCCCGTCCCTGGCGCCGCAGGGCTCAGCAGCCTCCCATACTGGACAGAAGAAGCTGCTTATTACGTTTCGGCGCTGCCCTCCCCGCGGCCACCCCAGTGCCACCGTGCCACCGCAGGCAAGGACAGGGAGGGAGCCCGCCTTCAGCTGGAGATGCCAGATCTCCCCTCTGGTCCCCCCGACAGCAAAGCCTTCGGCTGTGCCAGACCCAAAAACAACTGCAGAAGGTTTCTCCACCCAGCAGCTGGAACCCGGCCTGGAAACTCAGGGGCTGCCGAGTCATCACATTTTCCGTGAAGCAGCAAAGGCTACCGCAAGGAGCAGGGGGATGGGGGAGGCCCCACCAGCCGTGAGCGCTCGAAAGCTGTGGGTGGCACCACGGGGGCTCTGCAGCCCAGCCCGCGCCTCCCGCAAGGGTGACAGCCTCAGGCTGGGACATTGTCCGAGCCCCGAGCCCCGGTGGGATCATCCAGCCTGGAGCAGAGGCAAGAGAAGGGACCTCTGAGAGCATGCCCATCATCCTGGTCTCAGGTCTCGCTTACGCTGAGGGACAGTGGCCACAGTGCAGTGGCAAAGGCTGCGGGCAGTCCTGGGCAGTGCCAGCCTCAGAGCAGAGCAGACTCCGCTCCCCATTCGCCTTAGCACTCCATGCACTGGCCTTTACTCCAGGCACCCTGGGCACGGAGCCAGTGGCACAGGGCCTGTCCCCGCTGAGGCATCTCCCAGACCGGAGCATGGCCCCTGGGGGAAGAAGGGGACTGCCCTGGGAAGCACCGGCGGGGGTGGCGACGAGCAGGGTGGGCAGCAGGGCACGGGCACCCAGGCGT